CTTATAGGTGGGAATTGAACAATGAGAACACTTGGACATAGGGTGGGGAACACCACATACTGGGGCCTGTCGTGGGGTGGGGGTTGGGGGGAGGGATAGCATTAGGAGATATACCTAATGTAAATGATGAGTTAATGGGTACAGCACACCAGCTTGGCACATGTATGCATATGTAACAAACCTCCATGTTGTGCACAGGTACCCTAGAACTTAAAGTATAATAAAATATAAAACAAAATAAAATGGGGGTGAAAGTACACAGCAAGGGTTAGTTCTCTTCTCCTGCCTAGGTGCAGGACCTAACCCCATGTTAGTAACGCATGAAAAAGAAAGAAAGCATATTAAAAGAGAGGAACAACAAAAAAAATGGGGGCATAGATCATAGCGAAAGTAAGCCAAAGCCCTCCGCTGAAGTGGAACAAGAATGGGGAAGCATCCTGCTGTGGTGTCTTTGAGAAACCTCTGACTTGCTTACCCCAGCCCCAGTCCTATTTCTCTTTAGGCTGTGTTACTCTCTAATCAGCTATAGGTACAGGTCTATGCTACACCAAGAGCCACCTGCACTGCTGCTCAGGCAGAAGGTGTGACCAGCACCCTAGGCTCCAGGTCAAGGCACCTGGAGGAGGGTGGATGGGGAGATGTTTGTGGCATGGATTGCTTATTTAGTGGATGTTGTGGCTACTTCCTCTGGGCCTTGTGAGCACACGTTTTCTCCTTGTGATCTTTTATTATATTTGGCCAGACACACATAAATGTAAAGCCCACAGCTGCCTCTGCACTCTCAGCCAAGTGGAAGTAGTATTCTTTGTTGTTCTTGGCATAAACCTGACACTCCTTTCTTTTCTGTACAGTAATAAAAGGCAGTGCATATCTTGCAAAGTCTGTTCACTAGAAATTGTAGCACACACTTGTTAAGCTAACACATCGTGGTAGACAGCATGGGGCTGTGGCTGGGAATCTCATGGCATTCTCTTTTCTCAGCTATTAAGTTGTACAGTGATATCTTTGGGGGATACTTTAACATTAATTGAGATAGTGTTTATGATAGTACTTTGAAACTTTCAAAGCATCAGAGAGATGTTACTTGGTATACGATGGTGCATGACGTTCGGAGACAGAGTATGTCTTGCCTGTAAAACCTTGAGCTAGTACTAGAGGAGATGGGACATATGTGGGTGTCTATGCAACATGGTTCAAAGTGATTATCTGCACATCTCTGATTTAAAGATGTGCAGAAAAGCGCTGTGGAAAGTCAGTGGGGAGGAAGCTTTGTGAAGCGGGTGATGCCTAAACAGCGCTTTGAAAGATGAGCCATTGAGGAACGTGGTGTATATGGGGCATTGACTTAACAAGCAGGTACTGGCGACAGGACCTCCGGGCAGAGGGGATCATGTCAGGCATAGATCTGAGTGCATATCAGGCCTGTACAAGCCACAGCCTTCATTGAGTTGGATTGGAGCATTGATTTGGATTTGTAACCCAGACAGTGGGGAACCACTGAAAAATGTTGAGCCCCAGGAGTGGCAAGATAGAACTGAGCTCTAGGGTGAATAACCTGGCAACAATTTAAACAGGTGGAGAAGGGAGAGACTGGAAGCCCTTCTGACTCAGAGACTATGTGGAAAACACACGAAGATCTAATGTGTTTACCTCCCAATATTATCTTGATGAGTAAATGAGATAGAGGATATGGAAGTACATTTGAAAAAATGCATCCCGATGGTCCCTGTCCCAAGCTTCCTGGCCCCTTGGCAGCAGCTGATCACCCTAACCTGCTGCCTTTAGGTGCCTTTAGGCAGCCTGGGTGAAGGTGTGGGCCCAGAGCCTGGCTGTGCCGGTCCCCTGTACCCTTCTGCTTTGCCCCCCTCTTCACTCCTGCTCTTTTCTCCCCATTTGTTGCCTGCTCCTCCCTGCCTGGCTCCTGACGTCCTTGACTTTGTTTCCCATTTCTGGCCTGGGAATACCCGATACCTGGGGATTGGTGTGTTTCTTTTTCTAGGTCTGCCCTTGACCCTTCCCAGGAAGCTCTTCCCTTCCCGGCCACCTGGAGGAACCACCTACTTAGACCACCCCCATTCCAACAAAGCCCTGGTCCCCAGGAGCTCCTCCAGGGTGGCCTTGCAGTGGTGACTGGCTTAGAGAGGAGTGCTGAGAGAAACTGGGAGTTGGATACAGATTTAAATGAATGCTGCTACCATTCACTAGCTTGGCAAGGGGATTACTGAACTACTTGGAGCTTTGGTTTACCCCAGGGGAAAAGGAAGGTAATGATCTGTCTCTCCATTTGGTTGTGAGGCTTAAATGAGGTAATGGTTTAAAGGGCTGGTTGGTGTCTAGTGAATATGAGTTGCCCACTGCCTTTTCTTCTGACTTTCCATTCCAGATGAAGACCTTTTATTAAGAGCTTCACATGTTTCTGCCCTCCTCTCTCTCTTATATTTTCCTTCTTCCTCTTTTGCAAAAGCTTTTCAAAGTATAGTTATGGCCGGGCACGGTGGCTCACGCCTGTAATCCCAGCACTTTGGGAGGCCAAGGCGGGTGGATCACGAGGTCAGGAGATCGAGACCATCCTGGCTAATACGGTGAAACCCCGTCTCTACTGAAAATACAAAAAAGTAGCTGGGCCTGGTGGCAGGCGCCTGTAGTCCCAGCTACTCGGGAGGCTGAGGCAGGAGAATGGTGTGAACCCGGGAGGCGGATCTTGCAGTGAGCCGGGATCGTGCCACTGCACTCTAGCCTGAGCGACAGAGCGAGACTCCATCTCAAAAAAAAAAAAAAAGGGTAGTTATTTCTGCTCCAGGAGTTTCTACCACTGCCTTGAGGGGGAGGTCCTCGAGATCCCAATATAGGACTTGAAGCATTCTTTCCTATAGAAAGAATGTTAATAAATGTTGGATACTTGCATTGTGAGGACTTTGCCTAAGGAACATTCTGGGCCAGGCAGGCTTTTGTGAAATCATAACAGCATTATTCATTTTCACGAGTAAGTACTTGGACGGATGTTCCCAAGCAAGCAGCTTATCAACAACCTTACCAGAAACCATCCAATTATAACCTGAGGACTGCCTGTCCCCCTCGGGTATTTGCTGTTGCCCTCATAAGCCTTGGTAGGTGGTTGGCTTAGGAAGCGTTTCACACTGATGCAGGAGCTGTGTGAGCTTAGCCCCAAGTCCTGTGCTGTCTGGACTACTCATTTTTTTTTTTTTTAAATAAAATCTAAGAACTTAAGTTTAATGGGATAAGAGAGTCAGAAGGGACCTTGAGATATCTTACCTGTCTCCCACTCATATTTAAGCCATTCTTGAATGGCAGGAACTACCCCTTTATGGAACACTTGCTGATATTTGTGACTTTTCATGATGATTTCCTGCAAAGGCTTTTGCTGAGAAGTCCTTTCTTGATGTCTGTGGGTGCACAAGCCCCTGATGGGGAAGAAGTGCTCAGGGCGTTGCCACATACCACTCCTACCACAAGAATACATTCTCCTGACAACATCCCCACCGCTTATGTCTTGTACCATAAGCATAAAGGCCACCCCCTTCCCAGGCAAAGATGAGTGTTGAGGCCTTTTATGTGCCAGGGATTAGGGAAGTCCAGTTCGGTATCTTTCCACTGTCCCTATCCCTGCTCCATAGGGTGGGAAGGGAGAATGGTAGGCACATCCCAGTCTTTAAGGCAATATGAGAATCCGCTTGTTACTTCATCTAGAAAAATGTAACATTAATTCAGCAACTTCTGGGAACCAGACACCCTAGCAAGTGCTGCAGCAAGTTTTTTTTGTTTTTTTTTTTTGTAGTCACCACAACAAATCTGTAATGTGGATACACTATTAATGTCATTCCTATTTTAGAGATCCCAGGCTTTGGAAAGTTAATGACTTACCAGCTGTGACTCACCCTGCTGAGAGTGGCAGAGTCAAATTTAAATATGACTCACGTCAGAGCCCAGTCACTGAGCACACTCCCAGGCTGTGTTGGATGTGGAAGAGAGTGTGCCTGTCGTGGAGCCTTAGCTCTGACCCCTATGCCTGCGACACACACACCTTTGAATGTGCCAGGTGGGGACAGGGGATCAGGGCTGGGCCAGGCAAGGCTTAGCGCCAGCCCCTGTGCTACTACTGGTGGGAACGGGAGGACATGGCTCTGCCTGAGCCTTACTATCCTATTGGTCAGTTTCCCTCCATGGCCTGTGTGTGTCAGGAGCACAAAGAGTCTTCCAAATGGTAGGTTTTACAGATGTGACAGTAGCATCTACAGAGAGATGTAGTCTTCAGTTTACAGAGGAGAAAAACAAGTCCCAGAGTCCCTTCCCAGAAGAGCGAGTGAACGGCAGAGCCCTGACAGGACCCAGGTCTTCCCATTCCCCATCTAGCGCCCATCTGCTGTTGGGAGGTTTGCGGTCTTGAGCATTTCCTTTCCTGATGTAAACCACTTGGGCTGCAGTTTAGGCCTGTTTCTTCTTTAGTGTTAGAGGAGGTAGAAAACCACTGATTTCCCATCCAGTGTTCTATTACCAAATGTTCCCTTCAGCTTTCTCTTCCTCAGGCTAATAGTTCTTTGCTTCTTTGTTCTAAAAGAACTTTTTTTTTAGTCCAATTTTCTGCATTCAGGTGCCTCACTGGCCCTCCCACATAACCTTTCCTTTTTCTCAATCCTTACTCCAGACTAAACCACCTCTCTGCACGCTTGCCTCATGCATTTTAGGTCTGGTTCTTTTCCTGCTTCCTTTTTCTTTGTATGGTAGTTCTACTTCTTTTAAGAATTTTTCCCCAACTGAGGCCAAGCTGCCGTCATGACCAGTGTTGGCCAAAACCAGTCTGCGATCTTTTGTTTTAATAAGAACTTGGGTGTTTATTTTTAGTTCTGTCCTAATATCTCCACCTCCTGTCCTGGTCCTCCCTAACTTAGACAAAACTAAAAAACTAAAAACATGTGAGATGGGGACAAGGGTCCAGGTAGCTGTGTTTTCATTCATTGGAAACTATCTGTTTTGCTTCTCAGGTACACAGATAAGCTGTTTCTCTCCAAGTTCTTTCTCCTGGCGTCAGGCTGCCTTTGTGGATTCATATTGCTGGGCTGCTGTTCAGCAGAAGAACTCACTGCAGAGCGATTCTGGAAACCTCCCACTGTGGCTGCATAAGGTAAAGGGAGACATTTCCAAATAGAAACCGTTTGCTTTATAGATAAGGAAACTAAGTCCCAGGGAGACTGCCAAAGGCCACACAGATATTGTAGCCAACCAGGGCTGTATCTCGATGTAAAACTGTAGCACCTTATAGTCAAAAAGAACCTCTGAGATGACTTGGTGTAGGCACTGTCATTTAGCACAATGGGGCAATGGAAGTGTTCTTTGGGTTTTAGCTCTGTAACAGCAGGCACCTTCTGTGTCTTGTCACCTTTATATCATAATGCCCAGCAGGATATCTGGCCCATAGTAGGTTCTTAGTAGATTTTGAGTGGCAGAGCTAGGATTCATGCATAGCTTCTCAGCTAGCGCCTTTTATACCACACACAGGGTCTCTTGCAGAAAGTAAGGACTGACCTAGAGTTCAGTTGCTTCTAGGTGATATGTTACTGGAGCATCAAAAAACCTAGTGATGAGGCCCTCTGGGGGTATTGGCTGTATCACTGCTTTTGGAATGGATCCGTTTGCTTTTGATAGATCCAGATACTGCAGGGAAGGGGAGATTACTACACAAGAGACACCAATGTCTGGGTTCCACTTCCCATAGAGAAGGGCAGTCAGGCGCTCTGTCGTCAGGGAAGTGGTGGTTTGTGCTTGCAGGTGGCAGGGGATGCGGCGAGGACCTTAGGCAGCAGTTGACAAATTTGTGCAGAAGAATGTTCTCTGAGTTATGAAGTGACTGCATTAGGTCTTCTCTGTGCTTATGAAAGTAGGACTTTGTTTCAGCCTGTCATTCATTTCAGCCACTGTTTCTTTTGTCCATTGTGAAAACAAATAGAATGTGTATCTTCTGGTATTCTTTTCTGCTGAAGAAAATACAGAATTTTAGCTTTCGAAAACCCAAAAGCCAAAGTTTGACTCTCTTCTGCTTTGACCTGCTGCCAGACACACCATCCGCATCCTTCTTCATAAAAGGAATGATTTAAGGGAGCTATGACTCAGGCTTGTTGTCCCTCTTGTTTGTTTACAGTTGACCCTTGAACAACGTAGGGGTCAGGGGCACTGGCTCTCTGCAAAGTCACAAATTTGTGTGTAACATTTGACTCCCCCAAAACTTAACTACTGATAGCCTACTGTTGACTGGAAGCCTTACTAATAACAGAAACAGTCAATTAATACATATTTAATATGTTATGTGTATTATATACTATATTCTTACAATAAAGTAAGCTAGAGAAAAGAAAATGTTATTAAGAATATTATAAGGAAAAGAAAACATATTTACAGGTGGTGCAAAAGTAATCATGGGTTTTGCTATTAAAAGTAATTGCAAGGTGGGCGAGGTGGGCGGATCACCTGAAGTCAGGAGTTTGAGACCAGCCTGGCCAACATAGTAAAATCCCATCTCTACTAAAAATGCAAAAATTAGATAGGCATGGCTGGGCACGGTGGCTCATGCCTGTAATCCCAGCACTTTGGGAGACTGAGGCGAGCAGATCACTGGAGGTCAGGAGTTCGAGACCAGCCTGGCCAACATGGTGAAACCC